TCCAAAAGAAAGCATACTACTCTCATTCGTTACACTATTTATTATGTATTCTTTTGTTAACTGTACTCGAATTGATTAACCTATTGTGTTAACTAATATATTGTGCACTAATTTTGCCTTATCGTCTATTTGATTTAGCATTTATTATCTTATTTATCATTGTAACTGCATTATTCTGTTTATAAAACCTTCTCCAAGGAGGGAATAAAGAGTATAATAATAATGAACTTTACCTTATTCCCACAAACGATGTAGCACCACTCCCCTCTGACAGAACTTCAATACAGGTAGCGCTTGGATAACCAGTTAGGATCAGCTAAAACAGATCAGGTGATCATTGACCTGACTGGACACTTGCTAGCATTGACAATAGAGGGATTAATCCCTTATTAGAATGAATATACTTGTGTGACGAAGGCTGAAATGTTAAAGCACTTGTTGAGCACAACTGATTTTTTTTAAAGTCTGAAAATTAGTTAATAAAATGCCGAAAATAAAGAAAAAAGAAACTTAAAATGTAGAAAATATCTACAAATTACAGAAAAAATCCAATAAGTTTTTTATTTTATAAAATTTAAACTTTAAAACCCAAAGTCTGTCACTAGCGTTTTATTTTGAGTAGCTCGTATGATACATTTTTACATGGTTTTTTTTACATAACGACTAGACTTCCAGATATACATATACATGTTTCACTATAATCTACATACTGTGATGTTTTCTCTTCTTTTTTTTTCATCTGGATCTGACGTGATGTAATATTATCGATTTATTGCATTTTTGCCAGTGAAATTTCGGATTCTATCAACTTGATAAAACTGATATCGTTCACACTGTGACAAATATCAAAAGTGATATTTTTACAGTGTGAAAATATCACTTTTTGGTATTGATCAAATACAACGGTATCTTCTACTCGCTGTGAAGCGACGGTAGAATAAATGGTTGTTATGGTAAATGTTTGGCATACACACTTAAGTATTCACATAAATATACAATTAATAACATTTTTAAAGTAATAATACCAGAAAAATAACAGAAAACGTCGGATTGCGTTGAGCATCCCATTCTTAATGGCGCGCAGCCTTGTTGTCAAGACGTCATTAGACTATGGCGCTAATTATTACGCTTCTGATTCCCGCCATTTTTTAATGCATTACATTTTTCATGTTTTATGCTTTAGAAATGTAAGAAATAGAAAATTTAATGGTGTCTTCATTAATAAAAAATAGATTTAGCTCGTGTAGCTAATATTTTTATATTTTTCACGAGTGTGCACCATTAAATATTCGTGGTGTCATATTCGGCATTCCATACCTCTGTGATACGTTACACATTGTTGATGTCTGTTTTGTTTCTGAACAGTGGCTAATGCCGGGACAACTCGATTTCCTTTCTACTATTGATGCCGGTTTTAAATCGTTTGGTAGATTAGATTCTAGACAGAAAACAGATGTCGTCGTGGTTTTGGAGGGTGGCAATGTTCTGGCGCAGAGGTATTAAAGTAACCCCGTAACTTCAGGATGGCAATGACAGAGTAATTAGCATCTGTGTAGATACGAAAGGCTCTTGCATCTATGTAATTGGTGTTCTTATGTCATCTACCAATTTACCTATTCACGAGTTTCTTGATACATTCCGCTGTCTGAGTGATTTGTATGACAAATATATTGAATTAGGTCCTGTGGTGCTAATGGGCGATTTTAATGCTCACTTGTCAAAAAGTTATGGTGTGAAAAAACATAATGAAGCGAATGAGAGAGGACTTATTATAGAAAAATTGATACAAGATCATCATTTGATATCTGCTAACTCCCAAAGCTGGTCACGTGGGCCAAATTACACATACATATCTGGTGATGGTGATCATGTCTCTATGGTCGACAATAAACTTGTCGAAAAATCCAAAATCGACCTTGTAGATTCCTGTCATATATGTGATGACCATTTTCTAAATATGGCTGACCATCGACCGATACAGCTAACATTTCGAATGAATTGTCGTAAACGTGATTATCCATTGCTAGATTCGGCTATTAACTGGAAAAAAGTAACGGAAGAACATATAATTAAGCATTGAACTGTTTTTGTATGGTATTTATGTTGTTTGCTTGTAAAGATGTGTCATTCAAATAGATCATAAATACCATACAAAAACAATTCAATACTTATATTTACGTTTTCTCTGCCTCTTTTGTTCTTTTTTAACTTATAATTTATAATTAAAAATAAAAATGCCCGCCTTATCGACAGTCCACACAATTTCGTTCAATAGTTTGAACAGCGTATTGTCGCGTGCTGATTGGCAAACAAAGTAGTACTTTGACATTTTAACAAACACTTCAAATTTATTCCACAATTTAGTATCAATACAATTGCGTATGATATG